TGCTGAGCTTATTGCTACCAAAGGCTAAAATGGCAGTGGGACAAAACATACACATTTTGAATGTGCTGTTACCTCAGGATGTGCTCTTAATTTAGGTCTAATTGATGTACAGCACTCATTGTTTTGGGGTTGCAATAAACTATTAGTCACACTCGTTATCTGGTTCTCACAGTATCACCCTTATTTTAAACAATGGAACCAATCTACAGTTTTGGTGCAGGGATTCCCGGGCTTGGTTGGCTCTGTCTGACAGGGAGAAGACTGTGAATCTTACACTTTTAAAACATCTAGGGATAGATTTATATTTTTTTTTAAAGGTCCCACCCACCACAGTTCTTCAGACTCCTCCTGACCCTTCTGGTGCTTTGTCCTCTGCCTCACCATGTTGAACAACTGAGACTCAGCTCTCTCTTCTTGCTAATTTGATGTGAACTCAGATGTCATCTTCTAATGAGAAGGACCAAAAGGCAATGCCCAGGCTTCTGTTTTTGCTGGGCAGACTTGTAATCTCAGGCCAGTAGCCTTCAGGAGGGCTGAGACTCAGCCACAGCTCCCTGTGCCCAAAATCTCATTTGGAGTTTTTGCCTTTGGTTTGAGCTGCTGAAAATGGTTAAAGAGAGTAAGGCTAAAAACCAAACCCTGAGGATTGTTTTACAGTTTTTGTCAGGTATTTACTCCTCAGCTTCCCTTAAACACCTCCTGCAGCAATGAGAAGGCCCAGCTTGCCAAGAGAGTTTCCCCATGAGGGACCATTTCCCTGTCTGGTTTGTTCTGTGCTGATTGTGTTGAAAGCACTTAAGTGACTGACCTTCCAGCATTGGATGACCAGCTTCCTTCCTCTGTCCTGCAATAATTTTAGCTATGATGACAAGAGCATGACAAGGTAAAGACCGGTGTTAAGATCAAACTGAGTTAATGAGAGGCAGACACATGTGCATCCTTTGTAATTAACACTCTTATTGCACAGTATGTGGGGGTCTGCCTGGGAGGCCTCTTGCTATTGATTTCATATTTGTCTAATGGGCAACAATACTTCAGCCTCTTCTTGGACTCAGGTTAATTAGAGAACTGTAATTAAACTTATTCCTCTTGTTAGTTCATGTCAAGTCTTGACTTTAGCTCAGGCTTTGGTCTCAGAGTATTGGAACTTTCAGGAAATTTCCATTTATGTTTCTCAGATGATGTTTTTTTCACATTCTGCCTACTGTATAACTGAAGAATTAGCTGCTTGAGAATTAATTTGAATCTCAGTATTCTCAGTCTTTATTTTGTGTAGATGGGGTACTGGTGTTAGACTTTGTACTGTTACTGTCAAGTTTTAATTTCTGGTGGTACAATTTTCTGAGATCACAATTCTTTGTGCTGCAGTTAAGGCCCAGGAAGGATGGTAGCTGCAAGTGGATGTGACAGCTGTGTGCTCAGCCTCAGGTTGCAGGCAGGTACAGCCAGCTGGCAGGAACTGCTGATGAGGTGGCCTGCCTTGTGGTGTTACTTGCAATGCAGATGTAAATATTCCTTTAGACATCTTGTAGATACAGATTTTTAACTTACTTTAGAAGAAAGATGAACCTTAACATCCAAAAATGCATGTGCACTTTTTGTGAGTTCAGAAGAAAGTTTAGAGAGTTTTAAATCACTCAACCTGTTGTGAGTCCTGCTGATCTAATTCTGAAATAAACACTGTGAAGATGTTGTGTGCCTTCTAATTTAAAAGAAATGGGGGGGAGGGGGGGGGAAGTGATGCCAGGTTTCTTCCTCTAAAAAGAAATTGGTAAAAACCAAGGTGCAAGACTGAGGGTAACTTATTTCCTAAATGTCCTACACAGGACAGTGCCATGATGAAGCACTTGTCATTCTTTAAAAAATGTAATGACCAAACACTTGATCACTGAAAGGCATGATTGTAAAAATACTATTGCAGTCTGTACCTTTGGCATTTCCATGGATGTCTCTAACTAAGAAAGTTTAGCTGCAGTCACAGAAGGTACATGGATTTTAATTTAGAATACAACTTTTAATAGCATTTAAGGCAATGAAATGGCAAATGTGGGAATATGCCAGTGGGAAAACAGCTTTATCTGTAGGTGTGTGCATGGTTTTCAGTTAGTACCTCTTTGGCTTTGTAAAAACCTGCTTCAGCACTTTGTGTGAGAGCCTCAACCAGAAAGCATGCAGGAATGTTGGACTAGTATTCTTACTTTAGCCTTATGTAGTAACATTTCACTCCCTTCAGCTCTGCAGAAACATGACATTTTGAGAGAGAAATAAGGGAAAAAACCCAAACAAACTAAAAACTCTTAATGCTAGTGAAGAAGCGAGTATTGATTGGAGTGCAAATATAACCTTTCTTTCCTTCTCCACAGAGTTGAAAGATCTACTGACCAAGTAATCAAGCCAGTCAATGTAGAAGCATTGTCAAAGTGGGTTGGGAAGATACCTGCTGATGTCCTGCAAGATATGCCAGTGATTGCACCCATGCTGGCTAAACTGGGCTATGATCCCTATGCCAACCCACCAAACTATGGGAAGCCAGATCAAAAAGTTGTGGAAAACACAAGGAGGGTAAGGGATTTTTGTATGTTTAACTACTAACTGAATAGATGTGAATTATAGAGTGCAAGAGTTCTGTTGTTTTTTGTTTTTACCCCAGGCTTGGGCTGTGTTCTTTGATGTATGCAGCTGAACCTCTTAAGAATGGCACAGATAGTTGGGGAACTAGTTAGTAGTAGAAACAAAAGCCAGCTTTCTTGCCTGGGCATCAAAACTTGATTGATGAGCTCAGCTTTGTATACATGAGGGTTGGCAGAAACTCTGTCACAGAATTATACTCAAAATACTTGGTAGAATTTGAAAAGTGACCCATGGAAAATGGCCCAAGCTGATCACAATGCCAGATTTTCCAATTCTTGCTGTCCTTTGTGGAACAAACAAAAAATGGGGGAAGGTCTGGTGCTGATTAACCTAGACTTAAGGATTTTAGTCTGAAGTTAATGTTGCTGGAATTTCAGTAATTAGGCTATACAGCTGTTTATCCCTGGAGGTATCCATTGAAAAGCTCATTGTTTGAAATAAGAATAATTAACTCTTTACTTCTGTTCTTTTGACAATGTATACTTTATTAAAAGAAGGTGACTTTTGCTGCCACAGCAACCATTGGAAAAAACAGAGTTAAACAATTGGAAAGGACTGTGTTTCACGAGGCTTCCAATGCTGAACAAACTGGTCAGTCTGCTGATGGGCTAAGTACTAAAAAAAATAGCTTTGTGTGAAGTCTCTAAACATTTATTGCATTATTTCTTTTTAGAAGCCCTCCCTGGGAAACAGTTCATCAAACAGTTGATCAGTGTGTTGGAGGATGGCAGGGTGACTGTGTTAATAGTTGTCACCTCAGCAGGGAAAGGCAGCCCACCTTTTCTGGCAGGGGTAGGGTTTGGCATTGTATAGGTTCCTGCTACTTACTGTTTTAAAAGCCTCACAGACTTCAGTTCAAACCCTTTAAAAAAAAAAAAAGCTTGATACTTGATGGAGCCTTGAGAACAAAATCCTCCTGCACATGTACCAGCAAACACTGACTCAGATCCACATTTGTATCATAGTGCAGTAATAGAAGGTTGGTCATCTCTTACTGATACAATCTAAGTAATTTTTTTACAGTGTGGTGACTTCTCTGAGGCCTCTGCCTGGGCATGGCAAGCTCAGAGTTGTAAAAACTGGATGGATTTCAGTTGCTTGGGTGGCTTCTTGAAATTTCGGTTCAAAATGCAAGAGAGAAATTTTGGTTATAAAGCCCCAAGCATCCCTTTACAAATAATTAAAGCCTAATTTAAAAGGCTAAAGTGCATTGAGGCTTTTTCACAAGTTTGCTTTGAAGCATAACTGGTTTGTTTGCTAAGGTTAAAAATGGTTGTGAAAAACTGGAGGTGACTGTTATAAGAGCTGATCCAAATACTGCAAGTATATGGAATATTGTTAATATTTTGACTGCTGTTTTAATGTAATAGTTTTACTTACAGCCCAAACTAGTATTTTAATTATTTATTGTACTACCCAGTATATATTGCCCTAGTCACTTTTTAAACTAAATTACTTTTGCATTTATGTTTTTTATAGATAAAATGAGGGAGCTGTCCTGAGTTAGGCTCACAACCCAAAAAACCAAAAAGCACAAGGAATAAAGGTGGCTGCTCTTCAAAACTTATAATATTCCTTTCGAAAATGGAGAAACATGAGGCTTTCAAAATGCCTTGTACCCCAGGGAGCTGTTGAAAGGAGGGCTCAAATCAGTGTTGGAGTTTGCATTTCAGAGCTTGAATTCCTCCCCAGTGACTTTGCTTTGTTTCCTCCCAGCTGGTTCCCAGCAAATCCCTGCACAGACCATTGGTCCTCTGTCCTTCTCTGTGACTATGGAAGCATTGACGTCCTGACTTCCTAGGGTTTCAAGACTGAAGGTTTCCCAGCTCTCAGCCCAGTTTGCAGCCTAGATTGCCTAATTCTTGAGGCTCATCACCCCCTCTGCCTGTGACAGAAGTGGCTTCCAGGCCATCCAGTGTCCAGATGTTGGCCCCTCGACTTGGCCTGAGGCCAAGGAAGTTCTGAAATAAATAATACTGTGGTGATGGGTGGGAGCTGGCTGACTTCTGAAAAATACTTTGGTTTGTTTTCCCCACAGCTTTTTAATTTTTTTATATATATATATATTTATTATTTGGGGCTGGAGAACAGGTATTTCAAAACAATTCAAGCTATTTGGAGAAAGTTTGGGTGGGAGGAGAGGGAGGTGTGGGCAGCTTTGCCCACCAGGGACAGTGTGTGCTGCCCTCTCTTCCCCCTTCTACCAACATATGCTGCTTTATTTCTTGCTACTGCAGCTTGAAGAAGAGAACATTTATTAAAAAAAATATAATAATCTTGATCCAGATTTTTCCAGCCCTGAGGAACTGGCACTTGACAAGCTTAGTGTGTTACTGCACACTCAGCTATCCAACTCATTCCAGAGTTACTCCTCGGGACAGAGTAAGAATACATCTAAATCTTGCATGTGATTGTTTATTGCTTCACTTTGTGCTTGGGAGCTGTTCTACTATATTTATATTTGTGGTCTCTTTAAACTGAGCAGAGAACTTGAATTTATTCATTGAAAACAGACCAAGTTCAGACTTCTGAAGCTGAGCTGTGTTATGTTTAGCACAGTGACCCCTTAGATTGACTGCGCTGAAATAATGTTGAATTATCTGCCACTTGCTGCTCAGATACTGGTGTCGTTTATTGGGCTGTGTAAGGTGGTGGGAGCCAGCATTCCAGATGGAGGAAATTGCCCCTGTCTGGCAAACAGAAAGCAGTAGTAAGGGGGAAAGACTGATTTATTTAATTTTTTTTTTAAATCTCCTTTTTGGTGTGGGTTTGAGGGGGGCAGTTTTCCAGTTTTGTGGAGGTTGTGTAATGCTGGCTTGAATTTATTGTGGAAGTTGCAAGCAGAGGGGGGAAGCCGGACAGTGTTGAAATGACTGGCAGGGAGGAGTCTGGCTCCACCTAAAGATGGAACAAGACTTTGTCATCTAGTGCATTGCTATCAGATAGCTGAAAAACAAACCAAATCAGTTCTTGTTACAGGGAGTTCTTGTTTTGTATCATTAAAAGCATTTTTATACTGCACATACAAAATCAAAGATAAGGTGAATGAAAAGATAAACATTGGTGCAAATCACAATCATAGCCAGAAAGCCTCTCTTGAATGCAGGCAGGTCAGTACGTCATGAAGTCTGTGTGTTGCCCAGTTGTAAAAGATGGTTTTAAGATTCTGAAAATCAAATATGTCTTTGTTCTAAAATGTGCTTAAATGCTGCTTGTAGGACTGTGTTTATACTGCACTGAGCAAAACTTGTCATTTCTTGGAAAAGACTAGAAATCAGACTGTTAATCTCTTTTATGATACTTTATCTTGTCTGGGTTAAGGAACACAGAGCAGAGAGAACAGGGTCTGGGCAGTGTTGCACTGCTGATGTCTGTGTGTGACCTCGAGAGGCAGCCTGTAGTTACCCAGTGACTGCAGAACTGTGCTGCCTTGTGGTTTTTGCAAGTGTTGCTGGTCTCTTCATTGTATGGTAATGGTTGCAGGGGTCCCTTCCTTATCAATAAATAAGACCTTTTTTTTTTTTTTTTTTTTTCTAGAGTTTTAACAAATATTAAATCCTGAATGTAAAGGAAAATAACATCCTTTGACTAAAAGGAGTTTTCATCTGAGGTGATGCAGAAAATGGAAATAATTAAGCTCTCTGAGCTGGTAGCCCAGTTACTATATGATGAATTGCAAAAGTGGAATCATATATATTTATTATTTGGGGCTGGAGAACAGGTATTTCAAAACAATTCAAGCTATTTGGAGAAAGTTTGGGTGGGAGGAGAGGGAGGTGTGGGCAGCTTTGCCCACCAGGGACAGTGTGTGCTGCCCTCTCTTCCCCCTTCTACCAACATATGCTGCTTTATTTCTTGCTACTGCAGCTTGAAGAAGAGAACATTTATTAAAAAAAATATAATAATCTTGATCCAGATTTTTCCAGCCCTGAGGAACTGGCACTTGACAAGCTTAGTGTGTTACTGCACACTCAGCTATCCAACTCATTCCAGAGTTACTCCTCGGGACAGAGTAAGAATACATCTAAATCTTGCATGTGATTGTTTATTGCTTCACTTTGTGCTTGGGAGCTGTTCTACTATATTTATATTTGTGGTCTCTTTAAACTGAGCAGAGAACTTGAATTTATTCATTGAAAACAGACCAAGTTCAGACTTCTGAAGCTGAGCTGTGTTATGTTTAGCACAGTGACCCCTTAGATTGACTGCGCTGAAATAATGTTGAATTATCTGCCACTTGCTGCTCAGATACTGGTGTCGTTTATTGGGCTGTGTAAGGTGGTGGGAGCCAGCATTCCAGATGGAGGAAATTGCCCCTGTCTGGCAAACAGAAAGCAGTAGTAAGGGGGAAAGACTGATTTATTTAATTTTTTTTTAAATCTCCTTTTTGGTGTGGGTTTGAGGGGGGCAGTTTTCCAGTTTTGTGGAGGTTGTGTAATGCTGGCTTGAATTTATTGTGGAAGTTGCAAGCAGAGGGTGGAAGCCTGACAGTGTTGAAATGACTGGCAGGGAGGAGTCTGGCTCCACCTAAAGATGGAACAAGACTTTGTCATCTAGTGCATTGCTATCAGATAGCTGAAAAACAAACCAAATCAGTTCTTGTTACAGGGAGTTCTTGTTTTGTATCATTAAAAGCATTTTTATACTGCACATACAAAATCAAAGATAAGGTGAATGAAAAGATAAACATTGGTGCAAATCACAATCATAGCCAGAAAGCCTCTCTTGAATGCAGGCAGGTCAGTACGTCATGAAGTCTGTGTGTTGCCCAGTTGTAAAAGATGGTTTTAAGATTCTGAAAATCAAATATGTCTTTGTTCTAAAATGTGCTTAAATGCTGCTTGTAGGACTGTGTTTATACTGCACTGAGCAAAACTTGTCATTTCTTGGAAAAGACTAGAAATCAGACTGTTAATCTCTTTTATGATACTTTATCTTGTCTGGGTTAAGGAACACAGAGCAGAGAGAACAGGGTCTGGGCAGTGTTGCACTGCTGATGTCTGTGTGTGACCTCGAGAGGCAGCCTGTAGTTACCCAGTGACTGCAGAACTGTGCTGCCTTGTGGTTTTTGCAAGTGTTGCTGGTCTCTTCATTGTATGGTAATGGTTGCAGGGGTCCCTTCCTTATCAATAAATAAGACCTTTTTTTTTTTTTTTTTTTTTTCCTAGAGTTTTAACAAATATTAAATCCTGAATGTAAAGGAAAATAACATCCTTTGACTAAAAGGAGTTTTCATCTGAGGTGATGCAGAAAATGGAAATAATTAAGCTCTCTGAGCTGGTAGCCCAGTTACTATATGATGAATTGCAAAAGTGGAATCACTCCACATTAGAAGGATGTCTGATATGTCCTTATCAATATTGTGGGTTTGTGTCAGTGTATGTCAGTTTAACAGGGTACACTGAGAGTGGAGAACAGCTCAGAGCTGCAGGGCTCTGACTTATGCCCAGTAGAAACTGGCTCATTGTTGTGTTATGATTGGCCAAGTGGCTTCCTTTCACATCTGCAACACATTACATCAGATTTTGTTTGGCACGTACTTCCCTCTAAATGAATTTGTATGCTTGGAATACCTATTCCAGTCATTTCTTTTAACTTCTTCATGAATTTTTTTTCTGTGCCCTGGAGAGATTTAGACAGAAGTGTACAGAGCTCTATGTAACCAAGCTGTGGTTTCCATCATGCCTGTTTAAAGATGTGTGGCTTCTTCTAATCACATCCAAAAGCTGTTTTCTATCTGTTTTATGTTCTGTTGATGGGATTTTCTGCCCCAACATCTAGAGGAAAACTGTTTTGTGCCTCTGTAAGCTGTGAGGAGACGTCCCCTGCTGTTAGGATTTGAGATGTCTGTGACAATTGTGATTCCAAGCATTGTGAGCTACCTTCAAGGTTAAGGGAAGTCTGAAAGAGCAGGTTGAAGGTACCTCTATGTACTGTGCAATGAAGGATTATTCACAGAAAGGGGCTCTGGGCTGGTTTTGCTGCCTCCCCCCAACCCACTTTATAATTAAACATCAATAGCTTTGTACTTAGCAGCTCTGGTGTTCTGAAAAATCTACCAAGCCCAAGTACACCCAGTTGCAGGGTAACATTTTAGACAAAAAGACCTGTTATCCCTGTGTACTGGGACTGACCAGATACAACGTGACTCTTTCTAAACCAGGCTTGAAAGTGGGTGAAAAGGAATGCTTTAATCTTCTCTAAAGATAAATTATAGGTTACATTTCTGAGTTACAGTTCTGTTCTTAAGTGTTCCCTGTGTGTTTGTAAGGGTTTTCTCAGACAACTAGATGTGAAACTTGTTTTCTGATCTCTTTTTGGGATTAATAGGCATTTAGTTTGGCTATAAGAATGTGTTTTGTCTTTTTAAATAGAATAGCTTGAATACTGCCAACACTGAACAACAAACCAATTCAGATTCCCACCCCCCACTGTTGGAAATCCATTTGGACTTGCAAAATAATTCCCTTAGAAATGTTAAACACCAATTCTGCTCAATTTTACTGAATTCTTGCTTAAACTGGAAATTATTCCAGTGTCCTGCTTATGCCTCTCTGCTGCCACTCTCTGAGTGTTTTAGACTTAGAGGTTGGTCAGAAAATCATTCTGAATCTTTTAATTTCTTTCTGAAGCTTTTAATGTCTTTGGCTGCAGATGGAGTATTGTTTTAGATGTTCTGGATTGCAGTCGATCCCTGGGTTTTTATTCAAAAAGGACCAGTTACTGGTTTTGGAACTACTTTAAACCAGTTTCTGTGCAGTCTCAAACTTGACAAAACCAGCATTCTAGATAAAGTCAGTTCTGAACCAAAATAAGGCACACTTGTGTGTTAAAGCTCATTTCCTTGGGCCATCTCCATTGACTAGGGTTGCCTTTGTAAATTGTGGTTGTAAGTCATGATATTTAATGTGAATATCAAATGCCCCTGAAATATTTTCTTATCTTTCCAGGCAATGACATTAGTTTAGCTGTTTTTCTTGATGTTGCTGATGGATGAATCCCCTTGGCCATCCACTTGGTATGGGGTCAGTGCTGCTCCCACAGAGGGTGTTGCAATGGTAATGTTTTTAAAGCAGACATTTATTTATATATATACACCATATAAAAATGGCACCAAGTCAAAATTGCAGAAGGAAAGAAGGAGGCTTCAGAGACACAGATCCTTTTCATGCACAAAAAGTCAGTGTTGACCACAGAGCACGACTAGGATGGGGCATAAACCTGAGAACTGCCTCAAATTTTTACAAAGAGGTTGTTCTCAGTTTGGGTAGATCTGATTTGGCATTGCTGGATTCTAATAACCCAGAAGAATATATTTTCCCACCTTAACAAGCTCTTCAGCATTCTGAATACCAGTGGATTCTAACTTTGAGTAATATCCTGCTCTTTTGTTTGTTTTTTTCAGGTCTATAAAGGTGAATTTCAGCTTCCTGACTTTCTTAAAGAAGTGCCACAGGTACAGTATTGGATTAGTTTTATTTTTACAGGTGTAGCAGCAAGTTAGCATGTGGCCAGTCTTTATATGATTGTAAGAGAATAAATGACTAGAGATGATAAGAGAAGAGCTTGTCTGTGAGATGGACTCTCCAGTGCTCCTGCACTCAGCAGTCCCAGGCCTCTTCTGAGTGCACATGTAACTCTGGTGTTAATAGTATGATGTCTGCAAACCTGAGCTGGCTGAATAGTCCTGTGAAACTTAAGGGCAATTTAACTCTCTTGTGTAAACCGAACTGCAAAGTTTGTGATTTGTAGAGAGAGACTTTGTTCTCTGCTGCCTGCATGGAATGGTTAAAAGCAAGAGATAAGTAATGAGAGATTTTTAAAAACACACTACTGTATCAGGCAAAACAAAACCAGTTTAGCCATGGATAGTCATAGTGTCTCAATCTAATAATAACGTGAGTGTTTGAATCAGAATTCCTAGTCTGGTACCCTTCACATGCCATTGTCATCTGTTGCCCAAGGGATTGAACCTTTGCAATGGAGTGGAAAAAGCATCTTCCTCCTCCTCACAGAGCCCCCTCAGGCTGCAGGCTCTTGGGAAGCCTTCCCCCCTGCTGTGTGGGAGGCCTGGTGCCCATCTCCTGCCCTTTCCTCATGTAGGCATGATGGGAAGGGCTTGGGTTGTAACCTCTGGCCTGTGTGTGGACAAAGGAATTCAGTCTGGAAGATGCATTCCCTGCAGAGAGGATAGACTTGTTCCATGGAGCTCTCTGTTGACATGCTCCATTGCAGAGCTTGAAGGGCTTCTCTGTGTGGACTTTTTTTTCTTTTTCCTCTCCAGTGTGTAGTGAAATTAAATCTCCCTCCCACAGCCTTGCAGATTTAAGCTCTGCTAATGTAGCCATGGAAAGTCAGAGCTGATGAGTTAGACAAGGAACAAATACTTTAACCTTTATCAGAAAAATAACAAAATATTTTTATTTTATTGTTCAACTGAAATATTTTATATGAAAAAGCAGAACATGTAGCAACAGGTATTGTGTTCTTGGATAAGAGCTGCTCAATTAGGCTCATAGAAATACCAGTTTCTGCAGGTTGGACAATTGCTGCTCAATGTCTGACTGCCATCTGGAGTGCACTGAACATTCTGCTTTGATAGAACAAACAGCTTCATCCCAGTTACTGTCTCAGGGTGTGTTCAAGTAAAGCTAAGTACAAAAAGAATTGTTTTTTTTCAGTTCCTTATGCATGTGGAGGAGTCTGGCATTGCAGGGGGAGAAGGCATTTTTAGGAGCACTTTGCCTCCAGAATTGTGTATCTTTGCTTCCATTAATTTATATTTCTACATGATTTCCCATCTATCTATAATGATACCTACAGTACAGAAGTTCATTTAGAATGTAAGTAGTCTATAAAAAATAAAATAATTTGCAATGTCTTTAGTTTTTAAAGAAAAAACACACTAATGGGCACAAGTTTTCCTGACTTTGGATCCCCAGTGTTAGTGGACTTTTGTTAGACACAGAGGTTGAAGAAGACACAGCAGGCTCTACCAGACACAGCATTTTGACTTAACTCCATTCATGGCAATGAAAATTAGTTGATTAAAAAGGAAAATTGATTTCTTTTGTTCCAGCCAAAGAAGACAGTAGAAAGGAGGTCCCGTGGCAAGATAAAATGAACACGGATCAGTAAAGTCGAATTAGCTGCAGTGTCTGTTTTGTGTTTTCAGAATATAACTTTTTGCTGTGGACACCACATCTTTCTGGCCAGTCTGTGTGACCTCTGCCGTGGGCTTTGCTGTCACTGCTGCCTGTGCTCCCCTCCCAGCACCCGTGCTCGTGCTTGGCAGGCTGTGCTCAGCTCCCAGGACACCCCGGCAGCTCCTGCTGCTGCTCACACCATCCCTCCCTGCCCACAGCCTCCCTGCAGCTTCCTGGCAAGGCAGCTGTTTGGAATGTCTGCTGCTTAAAAGTCACTGTCAGCAAACTGTGTTGAGAAAGTGTGCTGTGGTTCTTTCTGATGCTTCCAAAGGCAATTGCTATGGTTATCTCAAGATTATCTACACCCTTATAGATAAAGTGGCAGCATAAATGGCTGCAGCCGTGGGGTGTGTCGGCACAGAGGGAGATGAAACACTGCTGAGGATTCCTGGAAGAGGCAGAGAGATGAGCTGCCTTTAACATTTAGCAGACTGTGTATTAGCAAAATAAGTAATCCTTGGTCTGCCCACAGTATCCATTAGTTAAATGGTGCTGGTTGTTTTTTCCAATTATCTTGTGACACATCAAAAGAACTCAGTCCACTGTTTCCAGCAAACGTCCCTGTGATAGGGAGCTTCCAAAATGGGACTCTGCTGAGTTTCAGGAGGTGGATTTATACATTTACCTTGGTATGATTGCAGTATTTACCCAACTTGGAGAAGGTTTATCCAAAGTAAAGAAAGAACATCTAAAAACCAAAAATAAGCTTTGTGAAATAGAGACTATTGCTTAAACCACAAACACTGACGTTGGAGTTGAAATTTATTCTGATAGTGTCCTGCTTTACTACTATACTAAAGTTAAAATTAATATCATGTAACCAAACAACTAGGTGGCTTTGAGAGCAAACATTGGTGCTGATAATATTTTTTCCTCTCTTGCAAAATACCTAATTTCATTTTAATTATTTATTTGACAGACTGAACCTATGGAATAGAAGATAAAATGGATATGTCTTGCACAGAAGGTAATAAAAGAGTGTGCAGTCCTGCTCACTTGCTCCTTATTTAGCTAAGGGGATTATTTTATTTAAATGTACTGTAATTCCATGTAAGATTTTGGGTAAGAATAGTATGAAGATGTGGATCTTGCTTCAGTCTGTAAAATCCCCTTGAGGTGTAAGTCCTGGTGGGGAGAGCTACAAAAAGTAGTTTGAATGTGAATGCAAATTCAGATTGATTTATTTTTTGCCCACATATGCTCCAAGAAGTAGCTCTAATGATAAGCAATGGGAAAGGCAGCCAGATTCCTTACAGGGGGGGGTTTAGTGGCTGTGGTTTGTCCTGCCAGTGTCTTCCCTCTGGGATGCCCATGGTTACACTGAATGATGCAATATTTACAGTTAGAAAATGCTGTCAGGGATGAAACCAGAATCTTACACTGAGAGCTCAAACATCACTTTATTTTTCTTTTTCTTAGGAAGAAGACTGCTGCCTTTTCAAAGGAGATGCTCTTACAAGGACAGTCCCACTGAGCTCAGTGAGGGGCACTGCTCCTGGCCTGCTTTTTTCAGAATTTTTTCTCCCATTTCCTTCATACTGTTTTTGTTCAAGATTTTGTTGTTGTGAGCATGTAAACATGTTAAAGAAAAACACCACAAAAAGAACTGATGTTCCTGTAGAACTGTATTACATTTGCACAACTACTTTTTTAAGGTTTAAAAAAAAAAAAAAGCAAAGTAATGCCTGTCTCTGTAATTGTTCTTCTGTCTTAATTCCAAAACTCCCATCTTCAAAGACCTTTTTTTTCCTGTAGCAGTTGGGTTTTAAATGTACGAAGCTTTCAAGAGTGGTCTGTGCTTGTCCTAAAAGACTTTGGTGGAGGAGTTTGTTTTATTCAACGTGGAAATTGTTAAATGTCTTTTATTTAAAAAAAAAAAAAAGCAGCACATGTACAATGACAATTCAATGATCTTTTGTATTTTATTTTTCAAAATAAATGCTTTAAATGTGATTTTTTTTTTTAATTGGTTGCCTCAGCATTAAGATTTAAATAATTCTAGATACTGATGTGTGACTGGGAAGATACGATCTAGTATCCTGGAGTTGGACCTCTGTGCAAGGTTTGTCATCGAGTGCAATTTGCTTTTAATAGCTGGGAGAGGAAGAAGTCACAGCATCCTCCTGAGAGCTGGAAGTACCAGGTTTGTTTATGCAGGAAGCTCGTGTTGAGCCTGTTGAATTTGTCCCTCAAGAGCAATTGTCTTCAGACAGGTGCTGCGGGCTGAGGCTGCTGCTGGGAACCCTGGGCTGACATTTGCATCCTGAAGCTCTGAGGAACGTTATTCCAGTAAGGGAGGATTTTTAGAACAGTTTGTGTGTTGTTTTCTGTCCCTTCAGTGGTTCCTGACACACTGAAGGGGCCTTGGCCCTTCCCATGGAGCCTTCTTTCCACAACAGTGGGTCCTGTTGTTGCTGCACCTCCAGCTTGAGAGCTTGGGGGTGTGTTTGCACACCCTGCAGCGCCGGGAGGACGTGCTGGGCCTTTCGGGACCCGAGTTAACGCTGCCGTTTGGTTCAGACGGACCCGCAGCTGCTCCCGGGACCCCCCGCGCCGCCAGCCCCAGGGCTCGCGTTCCCATGGCGGAGCGGCAGCAACATGGATGGGTCTCGGGGTGTTTCCCCTCACAGATCAGCAAAACGAGGTGAAAAACCCCTTAACCCAGGCCCTTCACACCGCACAGTGTCACCTCGTGCACCCGCAGGCACTGCCCGGGAGCTCCGGGCTGCTCGGGAGGGCCTGGCAAGGCGCTGAGCGATGGTTCGTGCTTGGCTGCCCAAGTCAGAGTTAATATTTCACTTCCTAATTAAGATATAATGCTTAGCTGTGTAATTAATACTTAATTTGTGTGACACCAGGCTTAGCCGTGAGTCCGGCTCAGTTCCTGGGCTCTCGTGCGGCTGTTGCCCTGTCTGCAGCTGCCGGTGGTGAAGCGGGGGAGCTGCTTCGGGCTGGGAAAAGCTTGTCTGTGCTGTGGGATTCGGTGTTAGCAGCAGCTGACAGAGCCTGGATAACCCTGGGCTTGTGGCAGCCTTCAGTGCAACCTCCCTGCTGCCCCTTCCTCTCCAGGAGGGTTCCTGTGCTGATGAGGTTTCCCATGGTAAAGTGTCTTTGCTTTCCAAGACAAAAGTTCCCTTCCTCGTACTCCGTGTTGTTCTTTGCTAATGACCAGACAAGCTGTGTGTGTCCAGAGTTCTACAGTCACGTGCACAGCACAGTTGGCTGCAGTTCAGATAATCTCTGCCCTTTCTCAGCGTGTTCCTTTGCTGTTCTGACGTGGATTCATTAGAATTAGTTGAGTGTCGTGGCTTTTCCTGCTTTGCTCACACAAGCCTTTGATCACCTGAGTCTCTTGAAGAATGTTATGGAGAGACTGCTCTGTTGCCCTGACAGGAACCCAGTTTCTGTTGAAAAAGAGAGCTTTCCTAACAATCTGAGTGGCATTTCCTAAAACAAACACTTTCTGCTCAGCTGGCTTTGAACAGAGTTTTGTGCAGGTCTCCTGTAATGAATGGGTTCATATATCACTACCTTGATGATAAAGATCTGGAGGATGGGATCATTATGTCCCTCTTTTATAGATATGTAACTTTACCAACACAAGTGTAACTTCAGAAGGTATTTAGGAAAACTTGGGCAACTTGATACAGAAAAGATGAGGCAACAGCAGAGCCTTGAGGAGCTTTTTTGAATCTCAGCATCAAGTAAAACTCGATGCAGCTCTTGGGTTGTTATCAGGCTTGTGGGAATGAAGCAAAACTTGCAGGTCCAGTTCATTTAGTACCTTTTCTGTGGGGTGTGGGGCAGGATCGGAGCTGTCAGGAAAGCTTGGAAGGTAATCCCTGCCATGGAAGTGACAGGTGCCTTGTAAACTGGAAGGAGGGATTTCTAGTAGAGTTGGTGGTGCTGATACATGGCTCAATTAAATACTTTATTTAGAAACAATTTTGCTTATCGGTGGTGTTTTGTCATTAATTATCAGTTTATCTGACCCTAGACATTTGAAAATAAAACAGATAAATTTCCTTAGTTTAAATAAACAAAACAATCCCTGTACCTTGAGAGATTCAACAAGTAAGTGTTGTTGTGCCTGGTTAACAATAGTTACTGTGCATGTTTTGAGTGGAAAGGAGATGTCGTGGCTTTTCCTGCTTTGCTCACACAAGCCTTTGATCACCTGAGTCTCTTGAAGAATGTTATGGAGAGACTGCTCTGTTGCCCTGACAGGAACCCAGTTTCTGTTGAAAAAGAGAGCTTTCCTAACAATCTGAGTGGCATTTCCTAAAACAAACACTTTCTGCTCAGCTGGCTTTGAACAGAGTTTTGTGCAGGTCTCCTGTAATGAATGGGTTCATATATCACTACCTTGATGATAAAGATCTGGAGGATGGGATCATTATGTCCCTCTTTTATAGATATGTAACTTTACCAACACAAGTGTAACTTCAGAAGGTATTTAGGAAAACTTGGGCAACTTGATACAGAAAAGATGAGGCAACAGCAGGAGCTTTTTTGAATCTCAGCATCAAGTAAAACTCGATGCAGCTCTTGGGTTGTTATCAGGCTTGTGGGAATGAAGCAAAACTTGCAGGTCCAGTTCATTTAGTACCTTTTCTGTGGGGTGTGGGGCAGGATCTGAGCTGTCAGGAAAGCTTGGAAGGTAATCCCTGCCATGGAAGTGACAGGTGCCTTGTAAACTGGAAGGTGGGATTTCTAGTAGAGTTGGTGGTGCTGATACATGGCTCAATTAAATACTTTATTTAGAAACAATTTTGCTTATCGGTGGTGTTTTGTCATTAATTATCAGTTTATCTGACCCTAGACATTTGAAAATAAAACAGATAAATTTCCTTAGTTTAAATAAACAAAACAATCCCTGTACCTTGAGAGATTCAACAAGTAAGTGTTGTTGTGCCTGGTTAACAATAGTTACTGTGCATGTTTTGAGTGGAAAGGAGAGGATATTTAGATGGATGCTTATTCCTCATGAAACGGGGAGAACCAGAACACAGAACGTCAGAGTGACTGGGCAGTGATCAGCTCATGTTGTTCCCTTAGGAAGACCCTGTGTTCCAGCCAGCATCCTGCAGTTCCACTGCTCCGTGCCGGGGATGAAGGGGAAGTGAAGCAAACCTGGAGAGGAGCTTCAGTTACCTTTTAATGAGCGCCAGAAACCAGGTTCAACTTGTTCATGACCTGTCTCCCCGTTTTGCTGCCAGTGATCTTACTCTTGAAAACCCCGGACTAACTGAGGGCTGAGATCTTACCTTCCTAACCTCACTATTTGGGCAGTAGCTTTGCGTGAACGTTCCGAGGGAAAAGAAGGTTAATCCTCACATCAATCACATCACATCACCAACCTGCGCTGCCTCAGTTTCCCCTCAGTGTCCCGCTGGAGGAGGACGAATCCTTCCTTTTCCTCAGCGCTGCGGTTCTGCTGCAGCCCCTTTTCGGCGCTGTGCCCCGGTCCCGCTGCCCCTCCGGGACCCCTCGCAGGGCGCGGCTGTCGCGGTGCCGCCCTATCGCGATAGTGAGCGCGCGGCCC